AACCCAGTACTCACTCGTCATTGAAATACCATCGAAATACCATTAGGTGACGCATACCAGATGTTGCCTTTTGAGAAAACTTTCCATGACCCTCCATTCGATGACGCATGTTACGACGCTTACCCCGCGTCATTAAATGCCTTCCATGACACAAATCAAGTGTCATGAAAGGGTTTTTCTGTTGTAGTGACTTGTGTTTTCTGTTCTGATACAGTGTTTATGACAAAAATAAAGTCGTTTACGGTTTAGACTAAACTGGAGGAATATATGCATAGAATGCTAAAGTGGTCATCATTCATGTGACTTGCAGGCTCGAAGTCCAGATTGAAGTTTAATTGGGAAAATAGATTTAACATTTGCCTGGGAATAGCGAGGGGTTTAGATCATCTTCATGAGCACCCTAGACTCAAGATGGTTCATAGGGATATCAAAGCTGAAAATATCCTCCTTGATGGCGCTCTTAATGCTAAGATCTCGGACTTTGGAATGGCAAGCCTGTATACAGAAGAAGAACAACTTATGATCATCAAAGTGGAAGCACCAAAGTAAGTGTACAAAAAACAAATACCTTTCGCTTTCTGAAATACTGTATAAAATAATACCATGAAATTCAACTCATACTATGACGGGTGCATTATGCAAATATAATTTGAATTTATGCTTTATTGTCGTTGACGCAGCGGACATATGGCACCTGAGGATTTAGTTCAAGGATTTGTAACAAGCAAAGTTGATGTTTACAGTTTTGGGGTGGTTATACTCGAAATTGTTAGTGGGAAGAAAAATGCAGGATACAAATTTAACCATGAGAGTGAGTATCTCTTGGACATGGTAAGCAAAACTGACAGGACGTACGGTGTTTTATAATTTCTCCTACTTTAAAGTGAACATGCACACTTTGAATTCTAAACCCTCATCATTTTACTGCAGGCTTATGTTGCATATAAAAATGGAAGCCTCGTGGACTTGGTGGATAAAAATTTGTCCGGCATTTATGATGCAAAACAAGCCATCACCATCTTAACCTTGGCTGTGATGTGCACGAGTATATCTCCTACTCTAAGGCCAAGAATGGCAGATGTTGTAAGTATTCTTGTTGGTGAGAAAACCTTTGAGCAGATTAATCCGCCTGCTGTGGATGATCATCAGCTTAATGTAGCCATGGCTCGTGGCGAATGTACCAAAGCTGATTCTTCTACTTCCACAGACGTGACCTCAAGGGCATCAACTTCAACTAAATTAATCAAGGGGATAGATGAAACACAAAATTCTTCTGCAGAAACCTGTCTCGAAATATTGGAAGAAAGTCAGACCTCGCATTAAACATGAGTCCTATTTGGATTGTGTGAGAGAAGTTACAGTCAGTTTGGTTTATGTTAGATCTATTTAAAATTGTTAGGGTACGTCTTTATGGTTTCAATTGTTTTCTATTTAAAGCGTTGTATTGTATTTTCTGCATTTGTAGTTTTTTGATGGCAATATTAACATAATTTAACAGTAGGATCAATGGAGCGATTAATATAAAGTTGACGGACCATTTGAACGAATAATTTAATTAAGGGACCAAAATGTACATCGGGTATAAGTTTGAGGACCATTTGAGTAATTTACCCAATTAAAAAAAGTAATAACACAGCCCCCACCCCTCATCTCATCACGACCCCATCCTCAAATAAGCCCCCCTTTCCCATCCCCCTCAATCTCTCACACAAC